AATATCTTGACCCTATTGTGCCTTTATTGAAAACTATTTTTAAAAACAAGTGATATCCTTGATTTATTGAATAATTTTAATAATTGGAATCACTTTAACCTTATTATGCCAAATTTGATAATATTTTTTTAAATCTTTTTCAATTGGTGTCATTTTGGATGTTTATGCATATGTTTTTAATTGCAAATGATATCTCTAACAATTGATATCAATTTTTAAAATGCATAACATTTTTGGATAGCTTTATGCACATGCATTTAAATACAACAATTGGTATTGCATAAAGTATATTAGACTTGGATATATTGAGTCTCTTGTGCTACTAACTTGTTTGTTCATCTTTGTTGAGATTCAATGTGTTTTAAGTGTCAAGCGTTTAAAGTCAAACTTTTTGTTTGGAATGCATTTGTTGAGGGGAGCTTTTGATTTTTCAAATGACTTTCAATGTTAAAATTACTACCTACTCTCCATTGTTATTTTTGAACCTTAAAGTTTGCATTATTTTTTATATAACAAAAGGGGAGAAGTACAGGTCTGAAAAATTCTATTTAAATAATCAAAAGGGGGAGCTTAAATATTTTTCAAAATATTTATCTTTTTCATTAAATGTTTTTCAAAAGGGAAGCTTTTGCCAAAAACCATTTTTCAAAGGTTTTGTTATATCAAAAAGGGGGAGATTGTAGAACCAATATTTTGATACAACAAATAAGGGTAAAAATATTTTTGGACCAAATTGAATTTATTCAAACATGACAAAAATAATTCAAAGTTTTTAAGTTTTTAAAAGGCAAAACAAGCAATTTTGGACATGGTTTTGAAACCCCTTCAAGAGGTTTCGAAACCCATAATGCAATATGTAAATTTGGCCTACAGGTTTCGAAACCCCTATAAAAGGTTTTGAAACCTCTTGTTTCAAACGGTCAAAAATTTAAATGGAGGTTTTGAAACCCCTTAAAGGTTTCAAAACCCATGCACATAATTGTAAAAAATTTTGCTTCGGCTAGAAATGGCTAGTAACTCATTCCAACATATAAAAACACTCAAAGAACACTTGAAGAAGTAGACACAACACCTATCCAAGCAATCAAACACAAGAGAAGAGTTTTTCATTCTTATTTTTTTTTCTCTTGTAAATAGTGTGTGTTTTAGTGAGCTTAATTTTGTAAACACCTTCCTTTTGAGAGGTTTTTGTTTACACTTTCTTATCCTTTTGTAAAAGAGTTTTGGTTCTAGTTTAGCCAAGTGAAAAACTAGGGAGTTGTAAAGGTTATCTCTTGATCATTGAAAAAGAAAGAATAAATTAGTGAATTTGTTAGAAAATCCTAAGTGAGGAGCTTAGGTAGTGGATGTATACTTATTTGAGGAAGTTGAACTACTATAAATCATTGTGCAAATTTTCCTATCTTTATACTCCTTACTCCATAAATTTCAAAAAGTCAATTCACCCCCTCTTGGCATATTTTTGGTTGATCAATCAAGCTTCATAAATCCCAACAATTGGTATCAGATCTTGACTTATTAGAAGTTCTAACAACCTTGAGACAATCCTTGAAGAAGTTTTATCCATTTCTGATACAACAGAGAATATGGCTTCCACCTCCGACTCGTTCCACATGGAAGACTCCCAACCGATAAGCAAACATCCATACTTTAATGGAGCTAACTACCATCATTGGAAGAAATTAATGAAGCTATTCATCCAATCCAGTGATCTTGATGCATGGGAGATGATCGAGAACATCTACTATTCTCCAAAGAAGAAGAATGAGTGGAGTGCCCAAGAATGGAAAAAAGCTCAACAAAATGCTAAGGTCATGCACATATTATTTTGTGAATTTGGCCACGATGTCTATGGAGGAGTTTCTTCTTGTTTAAATGCCAATGAGCTTTGGAATAAGATCGAAGAGATCCATGGAAACAAGAAAAAAGAACCAACAAAGGTGGTGTGCCAATGAGCTTTGGAATAAGATCGAAGAGATCCAAGGTAACTTCTAACTCTTTTGATTCAAATTCTTATGAATATGAAAAATAAGTTATGAATTTGGAAATAAGTTTTGAATCGAGAATGAATTCTGAAATCTGAAAGTATTGGTTATGAAAATGAGATGTGAAAATGAAGTATGAAAGTTCTAAAATGTATATGAATAAAAAAGAATATGATATGATTATTATGTACGATAATGTTTATCATGATTTTGACAAAATCATGAGATGATGATTTTCAGGTCCATGATGAAGAAAAATGGCTTAAATAAATCGGTTTGGATATTTATGATTTTATTTGAATTAAGTTTAATATTTTAAATTGTTATGATATTTTTTAAGTTTTATATTAGTATATATATATACACACACACACATTGTTTTAATGTTGTTAAGTTGTTTAATATTTTACATCACTTTAGTTTGTTTATAATTTCCCACGAAGTATATACTTAACGTGTGTTGATTTTCACTCGTAGGTAAAAAAGAGCAAGTGAAGTAAGGAGTTGAGTTCTGCATTAATCAACAAATACTACTTACATGTATCAGTATTGACATCCTACTATTTTTAAATTTTCTAGATGGCATGTATACGAATAAGAAATGTCTATGATATGTTATTAGGGTTATAAAAATGAATTTAAGTTTTCTATTTTAGATAAAAAAAAAGTTATATTTTTAATTAGAATAAAGAAATATTTTTAAGTTAGATAGTTTTTAGGAAGATTACGATATGAAATAGCATAGAAATGTCTAGTTGCTGCCTCAAACTAATATTAATTCAAATGTTTTAATATTATATTATTATTTTAAATGATTATATTACTTTATTGAAAGAAAACTGATATTGATTCAAATGTTTAAAGATTATATTATTATTTTAAATGATTATGTTATTTTATTGAAAGGATTGAATGGGTTAAATTTTAAAACTTCAAATTTGTACTGAATTTTCAACTATAGAATGTATGTAAAAGCTACGTGAAATCTTTGACTCGTATTTGGGTACGTATACATGTTAAGGGTGTTATAGGACACCTGCCCATGGCGTAGAATTTTTATAATGTATTATAGGGCTCAATTATTTGAAATACTTGTTATTGTGGTTTTAATCTTTTCCTAATATTTATTATCATGAGCTTATTTTTTAATATTTATTATTATGAACCTATTTTATAATTTATTTTTTTAATATTTGTATAAGTGTCCAATTTTTGTCAATATTTTTTCTAATGTGTATTATTAAAGGCTCAACTTTTTTCAATTCTTAGTTTTAAGGTTTTAATTTTTTCAATATTTTTTATTAGGGTCATACTTTTAAAATTCAATTTTTTTTTCTAATATTAATTTGTTGTTATGAATCTGATTTTTTCAATACTTTTTATTTGAGGTTCAATTTTTAGATATTTTTATTATGAGCATACTCTTAAAATATACTTTTTTTAATATTTTTTATTAGGGTCTCATTTTTTCAATACTTATTACCATGAGGCTACCCTTAAAATTTATTTTTTCCAACACTTATTATTATGAACAATTACTTAAATAACGGTATGTAACCACAACAATGACTGTTATGACATGGTAACGACATCGTCCAAAATTGTGATATCAACAATCGTTATGTCCACAATAGTATATCTTATTAAAAATCCACAACCTTGATACTTGCAGTGACCACAATATCATATGTTATGTTCAAAATAATGATAAACACAACGCGGTCAAAGACATAAATACAAATTGTAATTTAAACCTTTGATTAGGGGCCTAATTTTTTAGTTCGCCCAGAGCCATCAAAATCTCAGAAACAAACCTGCACATTAATGAATTTATTAGCATGAGATGTGATTAACATATATTGATAGTTTGGAGTTGAAATTAGAATGTTCAAAATTTTAGGGTCAATTTAGAATGAGAGTTATAGTTTTGGGATGAATTTTGAATGTTCAAAGTTTTACAGACTAAATTAGAATGAGAATCATAGTTTGAGTATAAAACTGAAATATTTAAAAGTTTGGAAACTAATTTAAAATAAACATTATAGTTGGAAAACGTTTGGTATGACCTCTACCCAATCAGTATATCATCTAAACAAAGATTCTTAAGGATCATTACAAATCCATGAATGACAATTAGTATTGAATATCAAAACTATCATAATTATTTAAAATTATGAGATAAATAATTTTAGTGTGTCAATTTAAAAAAAAAAGAAGAAGATATTTTGGGATGTCAAATTTAAAAATTATATGAAATGTTTTTTAAAGTGGATAAAATAAATAATGAGTGTCCATTTATGTTTAAAGGTACTAATATTTTTAAAAATATATATTATTTAATTTTAGAAAAAAATTTATTAAATTTATAAATATTTTTTTCCAAAAATTTTCTGGCTTCCCCGGTGATTATAGTATCACTAACTAGCATGATTAACTATCTCCATTGAATTTATAATTTTTAAAGTGCCCGAAGTAACACGGCAAAACTAATTATGATACACAAATCAAAGATGAAAATATTAACTTATATATATTAACTTAATTTACTAACTTGTTAAATATATTTTATTATTAACTTAATAATAAAATATTTTTATTTAAAAATATATATTTTGTGTTAAAATTTATTTAAAAGTGTGAATAAATTGAGAGAATATGTAAATAACATGAACCAAATGTTTGATTATACCAATTATCATGTTACATATTTAGTTAATTGTTAACAACATTTAATCCATGATGACCACATCTTAATTAAATAAAAATAAAAATAATCATATCTTATATTATTTAAAAATAATAAAAAATAGATAAAATACAAACATAAATAATCATCCTTATAATTAATCCAAAACAATTTCACCTAGTTCGACCCATACCATCATTATCGAAAAGATTAGAAGTATTTCACTTCACTTGCATACAAAGTCTATCAATTATAAAATTCCACGTCGGCTTAGGCAAAGACATTCATACACACAAATGTAATGAAAACCAAAGCTAAGAACACAACAAGAAGCGAACAAAACAAGAAGGCTTGCAGAAAACACACACATTGATTTCCTTCGTTTTTTAATTTTTAAATCTCTTCCCATAAACCATCTCCAAAATCCCACCTTTAGCATTCTCAAAGGTATGTTTTTTCTTGTTTACTTTCTCTTCTATTGTGTTTTTCCCATTTTTGTTGTTGTTTTATATTGTTTGGATGTGTTGATTCTGAAAATGGGGGTTTTTTTAAACTTTCTCATGGCTAAATGCATTGTTGAATTTTTCTCTCTCTAAAGTCTGGGTTTTTAGTGTTTTCTTATGAATCTTTTGTCTATATGGTCTGTTTGACTTGTTCACATTGTTGTTCTTGTATGATAGGGTTTATTATTCTAGTTGATTCTTAAGTTGAAAAGCTATGGATCTGGAATTTGTTTCTTTCATTATGTGTATATATAGTCAAGATTGTTAAAAAAAATGTACTATTCTGAAATCCTAATTGTGTAAAACAAGGGGAGATTCTTTAGGTTTTTGCTTTGCTTAGATTTTTGAATGAGGAAAAATTCATGGGAAAATTTTGATGAATCTGGTGGAGTTTTGTTGTGTTCTTAGATCCAAGAACTTGAGTGAAATTGGAGGCTTGCTTTCATGTAAATAAAGCAAGATCTTGATTCATGTTAATGGATGTTCTTCTATGAATTCCATATTTTCGGTTTACTTGTTTCATGTCCATAAGGATAAGATTATGTTGGATTGAACCGAATAAACGCTAGGGGAAGGAGGTCGTTGATGTAGAACCGAGCTATTATTGTTGATAAATGTGTGTATGTGTGTTAATTTCCAAAGATGTTTTAGAATCCGAGCCATAAGAAAATTTAAAATCAAGATGGAAAAGCTTGTGATAAGGTGTTAGATGTATATGTGATGTAAAAACAGATTGTGTTGCGATATATGGTTATGTAATATTACCGAGCTCAGTTGATGGAGTCATATTGTTGTAAAAAGTGTATATTCGGACTGAAAATATCTTCTTTTTCCTTTATATTTGATGTTCATTGTTTAAAAGATCTTGTTTATTCATGGCAGTGGACTTGAAGCCTCACAAACTTTCGTGGATAAATTAAACTTTCGAGTGAACTTAAGAAGAGCACTGTTGGTGAGTATTTCAACCTTTATGAAAAGGGAACAGTCATTTGGTTCGGAAATGATGGAGTTCAATACTGGATATTCCCGTTCGAATGAGAAACATCCATCGGATTGTCGAAAATCCGCTGATAAAGGGAAAAGGCCTGCAGAAAAAGATGCAAGCGCTTCTGCATTTGTAAATCATGGTTAGTTCCCTTGCTTTAGATGGGTTATAATGTTTGATTATCGGTATTTTCCCAGTTTTTTCATTGACATTAAGAAATTTCTCAAAGATAAGACATGGCCTATTACAAGACAATTCCCACTCATTCTCTTGATCTACTCTCCATTTGGACTCACATGTCAAATACGGGTATGTATCCGATACGGATATGCTCTATCTTTTGAAAATCGCTCTATGTATTTTTAGAGGGTCATATCCCCATTCCATGTAAAAAAAAGTTACCATTCAAAAGGAAATGCAGAATTAGAACTATTGTTTTTGTTACAACGGAGCATTAGCACATATTTATGTTTGAGAGCATGAAGTTATAATCTAATTGACTCTATCATGTAGCTGCAATCGCTTGGCACGAGAACAGAGAAAGGTGGACAGGGGATAAATCGCAACAATCACGAAAGATTAGCAAGGATCAAGTTATAAGGTATAACTTTTTCTACTTCCGTTTGCGCAATGACTGGTATTGCACTACTGTATATACTATTTTGGATGTGAGGAGATAGACACCATATATACATTCAGGAACATCCTAGTTGAAATCCGTGTAACCCGGACTAGGTGGTGAGTATTAGGCACCATATATGCCATATTTGCATTTGATGACGACGATTTCTTTAAACAAGAATTGTAATAAATTTGCATTTGATGGAAAATGGGAAGGGAGAACCAAAATGTTGGTGCTAATAAACATCTGGCTTGCCTTTTTTCTTTTGTCTTTAAGATGTGCAGTTAAAAAGTCTGAGCTGAAGTTGCTATTCCGGTTTGGCCTACGGGGTATAAATCCGTGTTTGTTGAAAAAAATCAATGCTTTTCATGTTTTCTCTTAGACGATTGATCAAACTTCAATGCGAATGAAACTTTTGCAAACCCTGCGAAGTACGAGTAACGAGAGATGATGCCTCCTATGGTGGCACATGTTGTTTATCGTGTGCCATATTTTTTGGAAGGTGACCGGTAACTGATCCGGTTTTCCATATGAAAAAGGGCTATTGATGATGTTTATATTTACCCATTCTCAAACTCCATACACGTTACAGCATAGAAATTAGAAATAGCTGTTATTACTCGTAACATTTACGAATAAACAAAGAACATCTCCTCCCTTGCTTGATGTGTAGATTTTACTAGTTTAAAATTTTCGTATAGTTGCTCGAATACGTTGGATGATAACCTTGAATACTTTATGTTGCAGCTGGTCCACAACATACGAAGAGCTTCTCTTAACTAGCGAGCCATTTTCCCAGCCAATTCCTTTGCCGGTAAGTTTCCCGAACTGGACATCAAGAACAAGTAGTTGTCTTTATCGAATCAATCATCAAAGAATACATTAAAATGCTCAAGTGATTTAGCGGTCGTTTACGGTTCAATTCCTTCCCTCATTTTAGTTCCTTACTATATACGAAAAGAGAGAGGGGGTTCGATCCTGCTTCCTCTACAGCAGGCATGGGAGTATCATCACAAACACCATTGACAACTACTAACTGCAGTATATCTGATTGTGCAGGAAATTGTAGACTTTCTAGTTGATATTTGGCACGACGACGGACTATTCGATTAGATGTCTGATGACGGACGATGATGAAGTATCGACATGGGAGACTGTTAGATGATTAGAGGAGTTCTTTTGTAATTTTTTTTATTTGGTTTAACAAATTTTTAGGCATGGAAAACCTCCATTATTCTTTATGATTGAGTGGCAATTGTTGGCCTGGATTTTGTTTGCCACCATAGACTTATGAAAACACACATTTTGACTGTCACATAGATTCGGATATTTGTTTTACATGAGTATGCAGAATTTTTTCCCGGATCTACTTACGTAATGTAAAGTCTTTTTAGTTTTATACAGATGTAAGATCATTAAATGAGTGAAAATAAATAGATGAGATTAACTCTTTATTTTCTTCTAGTAAATATCTTTTCATTTATTGAGCTCGTTTCCATTCTCCAGGAGCTGGAAGAAACAATAGAAAAGCATAAAGTAGAAATTAATAACCTTTCTGCAGCAAAATCTGAATGTGAAGAATCACGAAAGGATGACTTCGGTGAAAGTGATCTTGTTGAACAACAAAGAGGAGATTTGCATGCAGAGAACAGAAATCTAGAGGTCCAATACCAGCTGCTGCAGGAATCACATAGGAAATTGGAAAGCTCTATTCAGGTTCAGGAGAAAACTCTGGAAGAAAAGAACCAAGAAATGGAGACCGACCAAGCTTCAAGGATTCGATCGCTTATGGATTGTGAAGCTGAATGGAAAGGCAAATTAGCTGAAAAAGAGCAAAAAATCATTAACTTGGAAATGAAATTGTCCGAAGCTCTTGATGTCCAAGGTTTAAAAAAAATGGGTTCTGAAAAAGAAGATAATTCCGATCTAATCAGAGAAATTGAAGATCTAAAACTGAAGGTGCAGGAACTCGAGAGAGATTGCAACGAGCTTACTGATGAAAATCTTGATCTACATTTTAAGCTCAAAGAATCAAGCAAAGATCATAGTGCCATCTTGAATTCTCTTTTACCTGATCATCCGGGAAAGAATTCTCTTTCTAGACATGAACCAGTACCTTATGCCGATCATTTACAGATACAGTCTGTACTAGGAAATAGATGTGCTGACCTAGAGCTGCAATTGGAAGCTTTCAAGGACAAAGATTCTTATCTTGATGATGAACTCTCCAAATATCGTGCCAGAGCAGAAGAACAGGAGTCTGAAATCGACAAACTGCAACAGCAATTACAGCATTACCAGCAGACAGAAATTGAGAGTAAGGAGCAACCTACTACTCTGTCCTTTGAAGAACACAGTATTTCTGAATCACCTGATGCCATTGAAGTCTCTACATTGCTTGCTGAGTTACATGAATAGATTCAACTCTCTTTAGCTAACTTAAAGCGGCAGTATGCTCTTAATTCACATGTAAATCCTCAGGGAACTGTTTCTGAGAACTCTGAGATTGTAAAAAGTAAAGATTTGATAAGTAAAAAACAGCAAGTTGAGATTATCTTGAACAATTTTGTCCAGATAAAACAGTTCTTCAGAGAAAGTTCTGTTGGTGAATATGGTAAAGAGGCAAGTGGTTTAGGAAATGAATTGTCAGACAATATATCTGAGATAGAGAAACTTAAATCTGACAATTTCCTAAAGGACGAGGAGCTTGAGGCTTTAAGACATCATCAGAAGGAGTTAGAAGCCCAGGTTTCTTTTGTTGAGAAGGAGAAAAGCCAGTTGGAGGAAAACATAGAAACCATGCTCAGAGAAGCTGCTGCTACTGAAAAATGCTTGGAAGATTTACATAGTGAAATGATGGTCCTTAATAGCAATATGGATTCCCAGATTTCAGCCAACCAGGTTCTTGTAAAGAAATCTATGGAGATTGAAAGTGGGAAACAGGAACTCGAAGTTCATTTGTCTGAACTAGAAGAAAATCTACAGTTATCAGAACGGATCTCTGGTTTGGAAGCACAATTAAGGTATCTGACTGAGGAGAGAGAATCTCATCGTCTGGAACTACAAAATTCAGATTCTCAAGCAATGGAATTTAAGGAAGAGATAAAAAGACTGGAAAATGAAAAGGAGGCACAAAAGGCTGATATGAGACAGAAGATGGAAGAGATGCAAAAGCAGTGGTTAGAAGTTCAAGAAGAGTGTAAGTATCTAAAAGTTGCTAATCCCAAACTACAAGCTACTACTGAAAGTCTTATCGAAGAATGTAGTATGCTTCAGAAAGCAAATGGAGAATTACGGAAGCAAAAGGCGGAGTTAAATGAGCATTGTTCAGTCTTGGAAGCAGAACTGAAGGAATCTGAAAAAGTTTTTTCCAACATGGCTAGTGAAGTTGAAGCTCTGGAAGAGAAGCATTCCTCGATGCTTGAAGAAATAACCTCGAAAGAGAAAGCCCTTAACTTCGAGCTAGAAACACTTCTTCAAGAGAACAAGAGGCAGAAAGAAAAACTTGTTATTGTAGAGAGCCAGTTAAATCAAAAGTACATGGAGAAGACAATGGAAGCTGAAAACCTCCAAAGAGGTGGCTCACCTCACCGAACAGATATCTGCTACCCAGGATGCAAAGCAGAAAACAGCATCAGAAGCTGTGCTTGAAGTTTCTCATTTACGTGCAGATAAAATCATGCTTGAAGCTTCTCTAGAAGATCTTCAAGGGAAGCTTAAAGTATCTGAGAGCAAACTCAATGCCTTGCAGGTGGAATCTGAAACCGAGACACAGGGACTTAAGGAAGAGTTAACTGCTGCGAAGCAAAAACAGGAAATTTTGATGGGTGGCCACATATGCGTATATAAAGACTGTTTAATTATATATTTATTTATTTATACATGCATTGTATTTTATCTTTATCTTTATCTTTATCTTTATTATTTTTATTTTTAATTTCCTTGACTGTCGAAGGTCTTCCATGGAAGTTGTTCTAAATCTGGCGTTGGGGACAGTCTACTACACTACCTCCCCTTATCTCATTACATATAAGAATATAATTTTATTGTTGTTGTTGTAAATATATTTTCATTTATTACCATTAATCTCAATCAATTATCAATTTGGCTTAAACAATCATTTCTTTCTCATTTTTCAAAAATATAAATAAATTGTTGGAGTCTACTAAAAATGTGTCCTTATTGTCAACTTTTCCCTTCTAGATGTAAACTTAGATAAAATGATAGTTTAGATATTAAAGTTCTGTTTGTTCCACTGAAAATAGATTTCAGAAAATGAATTCCGTAAAATAAATTACATTTCTTAAAAAATATTTTTCGTAAAATAAATCATTTTATATTATGTAATTCATTTTTCACTTGTTAATTTTTTAAAAATTATTTATTACAAACATCAAATACTATAAATAATATTATTTATTAACAAAATATTATTATTATTTTTAAAATATTAGAATAATTTATTTAATAATTTATTATATATTATTAAAATAAAATTATAATATTTTATATTATATTATAATAATACAATTATAACAAAAAATGATATTATATTATAAGAATTATCAATAAATATAATTTAATAATTAATATTTTTATTAAAATGATACTAAAATAATATATTAATATTAAATATATAAAATAATAATGTTTTGAGTGTATATGCTTTGAAGTGAAAAGTTCGTAAAATAACTTGTAGAAAATCAGATGGTAAGTCATTTTCCAAAAAATACAAAAGAAATTCAGTTGATCAAGAAAATGAATTACATTGATTATCTATTTTTCAACAACCGAACACTGGAAAATAAAGAAAACATTTTCCGAAAAACCAATTAAAGGAAAACAAACATATCCTAAATTGCGACAAACAAAAGTTTAGATATCAAAATGAAAAAATGAATATACTTTAAGGTCTAAACGTGCATTAAACAACTTTTAATAGAACTCGTGTAGAATGTCAACGATTTCTCAATTCAATGAAAAATGATTAAAATATATTTATTTTTCAACTAACATTATTATAATTATTTTTCCTTTTATATTTGAAGTAAAATAATTGAAAATCATTATAATAAAGATTCAAATTTATTAATAGTTTAATATCTCATCTAAAATTATTGTTAAATGACTTAATATAAAAATAAGTGATTAAATTATATTTAAAATTAATTTTTGGTGCCTAAAGATTTTTTCGTTAAAAATAAGTGTTTAAAGTTTTTCCATTATAATTTTAGTTGTCTAGCGTTTAAAAAATCGTTAAGTGACAAGTGTCACGTCTAGATTTTTTTAAATATTTTTAAATAATATTTTATTTTAAAAAAATATAAATGTAATACGTGTTACTTAATGATTTTTTTAACGGTCGTACCTAAAAATATAACGGATAAAATTTTAGACACATATTTTTAACTAAATTTTTTTTAGAAACTAAAACATTTTTCGAGGTATTCTTTATACACTTATTTTTTTATTAAGCCTAAATGAATTTTAAAAACATTTTTATTATTTATAAATATGATAAAATTTTATTATTAATTTAAATTTGTGTCGGCACAGCGCTAAAATTAAACAAAACTGCATTAAAAATGAGGGTAAACTACACAAATAGTTCTTAAACTTTCAATTTTTTCGAAATCATATCTAACATTTAGTTTTCATTTCATTTTAGTATCTTATCAGTAAAAATTTAATACGTTTAGTATCTAAATTATCAATTTTGGTATGTTTTAGTACCTAAAATTTCATTTTCTTCCAAACTTAATGTTAAATTCTGAACGGGGTATTAAAATGAAACAAAAACTAAATCTTTTAAAGACAAAGTACTAAATTGAAACAAAAATTAAACTTTAGGTATGATTTTTAAAAAACTGAAAATTTAGATACTAAAACGGACCAAAACTTATAGTTTAACTACTAAACACGTAATTTACCCTAAAAATTAAGGGGAAAACTGAAAAGGAAAATCTAACGCTGTTCTCACAGACGACGTCGTGTTGCTAAGAGGGAATTGTATCAATCGTATTTGTTTTCCCGGAAAATATTAGTAAAAGAAAAGAGAAATGTAAAAGATTCCGATTCCGATTCCGAAACCAAACACGGAAATGTAAAATTAAAAGGAAAAAATAACAAAACGAAAAGCAAAGCTTTGATTCTAAGCCATTCTCCTTCCTCCATCAAGGAGAGAGAAAAAATTCTAAAAAACCCAAGCTTTCCCAGGAAAAATTTCTTATCTTTTTTGAAAAAACCCCCGACTAATTTAGAGTCAAAAGATGGATAAATTCAAGAATATGTTGAAACCGAAGCCGAATCCACAACAATTACTAAGAGATTGGCAAAGAAAGCTTCGTCTAGAGTGCCGTAACATTGAACGCCAAATCAGAGGCATGATATTTTCATTCCACCCACTTAATTGTTTGCCAAAATTTCGATGGTTGGTTTTTGCTTGTAATTTTGGGTTTTCAGTTAATGGGTATTTGAGATTTAAGGTTTGAAATAATGGGGTTTTTTTTTGGTGGTATTGTTCTGAGTTTTATTTATTTATTTTAGATATTCAGAGAGAGGAGAAAGGTGTACAGAAAGCCATTAAAGAAGCTGCTAAGAGAAATGACATGGGTTCTGCTAAGGTAAAATTTCTTTTATTTTTCCCTTCAATGGAACTTTAGCTAAATAGATTCACCATGTCATAGTTGTTGAAGAATTCAACTTTTGTTTATTTATTATTTGGAATGGTTTGATTAGGATAAGTTACATAATTACAGCAAAATCTTGGAGGCTTATCCGTTGATTCATGTAGCCCAGGACGCACGCATGATTTTATACTGAGGGTTGAACTTGTACAATTTTAAGGGATAAAATTTTAGGGGCGAAAAGAGGTTATCAATAGAGAATACAAAGCAAATACTTAAATTACGTGAGAGTTTGAAATTTTCAGACCATCCCCCCTCGCTCCATCCCTGATGTAGTCACCTTTAAGAGTGGCATTCAACAATAGGGACTCAAACATCCATTTTTGTAAAATTTTAAGCCAACTTCATGTAGCCGCCCGGAAGCATGGCATCTTGTAAACTTAAGCTCATAATAAAGGATGTAGGAACTAATATGGTTGTAGAGTAATTTTGTTCTTTAGATTGCTGAAGTTGATTGGAGTTGGTGGTTATTTAGATAAATGATTGATCACGCATGAAATGGATGCTGCTCGATTATTATAAATCTAGCTGATCTTCGGTATTCATTCAATAAGTTCTCTAGCAGATCTTAAGATCTGGAGTTCTAGCACTTTGCTAGTTCCTACTTGGAACGGCAAACTGAAAACAGAAAATAAGATGTTGGTTTTTTGGCATCAAGAAATGATCACGTTCTCTTTGGGTGGTCCGATCAACTGAAATCTGTGTGCCTTAGCCTTAGTGGATGTGTTATGTGAAATTTTATCTATTTTTTTTACTTGCTACTAATGAGTCATTTCTTTTCAGGCGCTTGCAAAAGAAATTGTAATGTCGAGAAAAACTGTGAACCGTCTATACGAGAATAAAGCTCAGCTCAATTCAATATCAATGCACCTTGGAGAAAGTGTTGGTATGACAACTTATGCATCTGAATTCTATACTGTGATTATTCCAATTAATGTTATTATGTCCCTTTACTTTGAAAGAAAAAAGAATTATTTTTGAACATAGGTCGAGAGTGCTGTTTGCACATGCTTGTTTCCATGAACATATCGACTCTGTTGCATGGACTCTTCATTTATCTTAAGGTATCCATGATCAACACTCGTATGCCACATGGATACAAGGATTTGATCTCCAAGGATCCTCCAAGTATATGGATGAACTTAAAAAAAAATTAACCATACCTGTGTTGGATACATACCCGTGTCTGACACCACAACCGAGTCCGAGTAACATATCATATCAATACTAGTAGTAATTTATTGTAATCTGACACACCTAAAGTCTAAACATGGATTTTGCTCTGTAAGAACTGCTTTTCTTTCTAAATTTTCTCTTGCTGGAATGTATTGAAGCGATTGCTCGAACCTTTGGCATTTGTCCAAGAGTGCTGAAGTCATGAAACTTGTAAACAATCTCATGAAAGCTCCACAAATGGCTGTCACAATGCAAGAGTTTAGCAAAGAAATGACCAAGGTAAATTTCAAGCTCGTAATTTCGTTGCATTTATGTGCCAGTTTTTGTTTCATAATATTTATGATCTTTGTCAGCAATCCTGTTTCAGCAGTTCCTAATGTGTGCTTTCCCGGCATTAGAATTGACCATAACATACTAAGAACACTTAATATTTTACTATTGTTGTTCGGAATCGATATGCTGTTTCTATATTGGTTCTTTATTGGTGCTTTTTCAACCCAAAGTTGCACAGAAGTAAACTTGGTCAAGAAACACATTTTAGGACTAAAAGGAAAAGAGAAACATCCCCTGTTGTATATTCGAGTTCGAGTAATATAGATTGAAATAATGGAAGTGGTCTACTACATGGTAACATGTGTAAACTGAGGGACATCCCCTTTTTAGAGTATAAGGGACTTAAAGTGTCATGTGAGAAGCATCTGCATGCACTACATATCTTTCGAATTTCGTGTTTCTTGTTTCAAGATTAATGCCTCTATTCAACCATTTTCAGCTCATGTGTCATGAATCAGTTTGTAGGCAGGGATTATCGAAGAAATGGTAAATGATTCCCTTGACTCGGCTTTGGATTCGGAAGATATTGAAGAGACCGAAGAAGAAGTTGACAAGGTTCTTTCGGAAATAGCTGGTGAAACTGCGGCGCAGCTCCCTGAAGCTGTTCGGAAGGAAAGAGTGAGGGTACCTACCCATAAAGAAAGCACTTCCCATGAGGTTTGAAAAAATAATTAACCCTTTTCTTTCACTTGCCATTGCAGTCCGATGATCTAAATCTCGAATGAATTTTACAGGAAGAAGCTATAGCAGAGGGTGCTGACGAGGAGGAAGAGTTAGAAGAGATTAGGGCACGGCTTGCCCGAGTTCGATCTTAAAAGCATTTTTGTTTCTGTCGTCTCCATTGAATGGTGGGTTCAAAGCCTCAAACACAACAGATGAACTTCTTATATATTCATTTTGATAGCTTAAATAGTTTATAATCTTTTAGAAGAACATTAAGTGGTTAAGCATGTTAATCGAGTTCTAATGAGCACCATTTCTGGTTGAATCAAATTCAGACAATCCATGGACACACAACATAAAACATCGCATAATCATGCCTGAATCAATCAAAAACAATGGCGATGATTGGAAAGGTGTTGATTACTTCAACCAACTTGTCCGGGTAAAACGGGTTAATTTCACCGAAAGGCCTCAAACTATGACTCAACTCTGAATTGGTCCTCGAGAAGTTTGAAGCTGTTTGGTGTGATTAACCCCGAATGGAATTTTGTTCATACGGCTAGTTAATATATTTGTTTGAAAAGATGAGGATCGTTCCATGCCGACCCGTCGAGTACGATGAAATCGAGCGGCCTGAAGCTTACCAAAGAGTATTGAAGACATGGGCCAATCGGATTGAAGAGAATGTTGATTCCAAGTTCACTTCTGTCTACTTCATGAGCATGTCCCCTGTTCATTTCAAGCCCTAAACTTCTAGTGCATAATTTGTCATCTCATTGTTCATTATCTGAATGGTATGAACAGTGTATTTTCAGCCTTAAAAGCAGGTGTTCGGATTGAAACTGAACTCAATGTGTTGAAGAAACGATCTCTGTGACGAATATGTCTGAGCCACTGAACGTCGGCACGGATTTTAGGATATCCCGGATGGTAGCTAACGTGACCGAATCCATTAAAGCACTGGTTTTCTTCCTCGACATTACGTTGGAATTAATAAAAAAAATACAAATGAAAATGAAATTTAGTTTTCATATTTATGAATCAGTGTCTATACATAAAGTGATTGTAAGCTGTTCCAAGAGTATCCCAAAACTCTGCTAATCTAATAAGAAAAGAGAAGTTTCTAATGATGAAAAATCTCCTCTAAACCTAAACCTCCATAGTCTTCCCACAAATCACATAATCCAAGTTCAGAAAAAATGTCGCCGAAAACGTCTACGCCGTCCGCAAACTTGAAATCTTTCGTCCCGTAATCTGGGAACTCGAATTCCGCCGCCGTTGTTGTCTCGCTTCCGCCTCCCACGGCGGCCTCAGAACCCACACAAGTACCCCTTGAAATCCCATTGGACAAATCGACGGCCGAGCTAGACGTAGTACTCGCCGCTGCAGTTGAAACCCCGATGACGGTCGAGGTTGAAGTAGTCGTCGCCGCTGCGGTTGAAACCCCATTGACGGCCGAGGTAGAAGTAGTCGTCTCCGCTGCAGTTGAAACCCTATTGACGGCTGAGGTAGAAGAAGTCGCCGCCGTTTCTGTTTCACTCCCGCCTCCTGCTGCGGCGTGTTGATCGCAGATATCCAAGTGAATGGAACCCTGGGGCATGTTGAGAATGGCCTTGTGGCCGTACATAGCCGAGGCGGCCTTGTCGTACGCCAGAGCGGCGTCGAGAGCAGTCGGGAAAGTGCCGAGCCAGAGCCTCTTCTCCTTGTTGGGTGCGCGTATCTCCGCCACCCATTTACCCCACGTTCGCTGCCGCACGCCTCTGTAGCGGCAGTTCTGATTCTGCGGCCCTCCCTTTCCCTTCATACAACCCTTCTTAGACCCCTTCGCCGGTGCCTTACAAGCCCTCTTCTCGTCGGGATTATCGATCCACTTCTTCAAAGTATCCTCCACCGACAACCCCCGACGCTTCCTTTTGGGGAAAGAACCCAAACCCATATTCGGGTTTTGATTTGCCGTCGAACCCATCACCGATTTCAACCGAAACAAAAAACAGGGCTTTCGAATCACGCCGCCGAGTTCTTGATTATCAGAGAAACAACACAACAAAACCCAGAAAATTAACCGCCAAGAACAGCCAAAAGCTTGAACGGAGCTCGGTATCACGACCGTTGTGAATTCGAAAAGGAGACCAGAAAGTTCATTGAATCAAAAAAAGGAGGAAATTTGAAAGTGAATCGTCACTGGTGGGAATTAAAATATTTATACTCGTTTTTTCCGTTTATTTCATTCAAAATTTGGGTTTACTACATTGATAGTCACTCATATTTTTTCTTTATCAACCTTTGGTCACTGATTTCAGAGAACATGAGACATGGTCGTTTTTATTTTTATTTAATTAAGATATGGTCACTTTCGTTTTTATATACTTAAGATATGGTCATTTTCTTTTTTATTTAATTAAGACGTGATCATCCGGAGTTAATTGATATTAACAACAATTAAATATTTTGCTATAATCACACACATTCACTCACTGTTATATACATATTCTCTCAATTTAGTCACACTTTTAATAAATTAAGATAAATTTAATCCTCTAATGAATGATGTCACATGTCATGTCAAGTAGGGGTGTTCAAAAATTTCCGACCTGATTAATCTGGCCTGTAGACCCAGTTAAAAAATGTCAGGTATTTATAATAAAAATACTCGATTTTCTAGGTCGGGTACCTGGCTTGATTTCTTTTCAAGTTTCAAGGTCGGGTTTGGGTCACAAAATGTTGGTTAACCGTGTACCCGATTTATTATATTTTTCATTTTTATTTTGTATAAAAATATTTATTCATAATTCTCAAATTATTTCACTCTAACAGTCTAAAATCCTAATTTCTTAAATATTGACACCAAATCGTTCTAAATTCTTAATTTCTTAAATTGTTTCACATTAACGTTCTAAATTATTTTTTAAAATATTTATTTTAACTTCAAAACATTTGAAATTTAATTATATTTCTTTATTTTAATTTTTAATAAATTTTATATCAATTATGTTAAAATTTATGTGTTGATTATATATATTATAGTCTTTTAAACTTTAAATTTTAGAATTTTTCTATGTAAATTTTTAAAAATAATATAATTTAAAGAAAAATAAAAAAAATTATGAATCGGGTACCCATGACCCGGATTATATATAATATAATTTTATATATATTAACTTGAAAATATTTTTATATTAACTTATTAAATATATTTTATTATTAACTTAATTTAAAAATATATAATTTATTTTAATTTATTAAAATATAATTAAATTGATAGAATATGAAAATAACAATGTTCAAATGTGTAATTATATCAAAATATTTAATTGTTGTTCGACAGTTAACTCGAGTTGACAGAATTTTAATTAAATAAAAAACGAAAATGATAATATTTTATGTTTTGTGAAATCAATGACTAAAAGTGGATAAAATATAAACATAAGTAATCATCTTTGTAATTAGGACACGCAGTATCACGACCGTTGTGAATTCGAAGAACAGCAAAAAAAAAAAAAAAAGCTTGAACGGAGCTCGGTATCATGACCGTTGTGAATTCGAAGACGAGACCATGTTCTTTGAATCAAGAAAAAGAAGGAAATTTGAAAGTGAATCTTCACTGGTGGGAACTAAGATATTATACTCGTTTTTTCGTTTATTTCATTCAAAAGTTAAGACACGTGGAAATGCAGCTATATGCTTTTCAGATAGGCACTAATCCACCCAAAGTTTAAAATTAGTTTATTAAATATTTAATTTTTATATAAATATTCGTCCTAAAATTAATTTGTATCTACCCTAATTTTTTTGTGTGCTCACGTTGAATTTATTTATGCTCAAAAGATAATTAAAAATATTTATTATAAACATTATTTTTATTTGGGTTTAAAAATTCATTCATCAAGCTCGAATCAAAATAAAACAAAAAAATATATTTAGTTAAAACCAAAATCTAGTATGCAATCCAAATTTAATATACAATCCAGATTCAGTACCCTTAACCCAGATATCAACGGTAGTCGATCAGCACAACCCCTTCAAATTCACTTTGCACCCAATACCAAAAAATACAAAATCATTAAATATTCCTAGATTTCAGTAGGATTAATTTAAGAAAAACTCTAATAACATTATAAGACTATAATCTATTAAAACAATTGTAGCACAACCTAATAACCAGAAGGAAAAAATAGTATACAAACATGCACAAAAATAAAGAAGAACTAACAGAAAAAATTACAAAAAATAGAGCAAATTTAAAGGAAATATCAAACATTTCTTGAGATTTTTCAGTGACTACGACTATTTTTTACTGTAAATTTGTACGGTGAGCAACTTTACGACAATGCGTAGACAAAGATTCTCTGAGATCACATGGATCAAACGACGGTGAACAACTTTCCAAAAATCAAAATATATATTTGAATTAATTAATATATACCAAACATAAATTTATAAATATCAAACATAATATTAATATATATAAATATATATATATATATATATATATATATATTAAATCAAAGAAATTTTGTAACACCCATATACCGATGCGGGTGATCCGATCTGAAGTGTCATATTAGGGTCACCAGAGTGACCTACAGTAAAATCCTGGAAAATTTTAAAATTTCTATTAAAAAGTTTAAAATCATAAAACAAATAAAACCATTCATATACTACAACAGAATTAAAATCATACACGTTTCAGACTCTAATATAAAAACAAAATACCACCTACATGCCCCTAATCACATGCATTGTACTCCACAAACAACGTCGATGGAACCCCTTACTGATGTCGATAGTTGCACTGGTTTGATTCTTTTAACCTGAAATAGTGAGTAACAAAGTGAGCTTTGGAAAGCTCAGTAATACATAACAACCAAGTAATGTTGAAGGACATACAAATAATAGGCAAGGATAATTTTCCTTATTGATTCAGACATCTACAGATTTTTATGTTGAACTGAGGTCCCATTGATATCTCAGGTAGTAAAAGACATGAAGCTTTCAATTTAGAGTAAACGTTCGGAGGACTAGGTTCAGGAGATCATAATAGGGTGTCTAGTGTGTTCTCACAAAACCAGTGAAAATGTACAAATCTTTTTAAAACAGTAGCAATTTAAAACGTATTTTTTAAAAACCATAGTAAAACTTCTAACTGAATACCAATATGTAGTTCCCTAGATCTGCATTCATAAGGACTTACCCTAGGCCCAAAGGGCGTAGGTGCCAACCTAAGGGGGCACTTTGGGCCCATAAGGTCTTACTCTAGCCGAAGCGTAGGTGCCCACCTGAGGGGAGTGCCTTTATGTAACACCCATCTCCAGTATACCTTTCCGTACACGAGATACAGATGTCACATCACTTTTAAAATATTTCCTCTTTTAAAAACCCGTAAAATTTTGTTTCCATATTTTCTTAAAACATAACATTTTAAGATAAAGCAAAACATTAATTGAAATATGTTAAGAAGTTCTACTTAAATACAATTTAAAGCATTTTTCGTACTTTAATTACATGTCAACTAAATTTTTCCAAAATAAACCAGATTGTCCTATTGTTACGGACGAGTCAACCTTAATTGATGACAGCTGCTGCTACTGTTGCACTCTTTACTTGACTAATCGTTGCTTTTACCTACGCGTGAAATCAACACACGTTAAATACTTATTTAGTGAGACATAGTATTGTAAAGAAACATTTCTATATATATAAGTATATCATGTTTTTTTGGTTTCGAACTACTTCGCATCATCCATAAGGATTATATAAGTCCCTCTTATTTAAACCAAATTTTTTTCATACTATCATCGTAAACATTCTTAGTATTTCCAACATACCTTTCTTTTTGTACATTTTCCCATTATTCTTTAGTAATTATTCATTAATCTCATTTATGACATCCTTTCATGCCTTTAATATACCATTATGCATTTCATTTATGTTAAAGTGCAATGTTAAGCATTTAGACTTTTACCTAAAAGTATATAGCCTTTCAACTAACTGGCACAATTGACACATTTCTGTCAAATGTACAGCTAGGCTATTAATCTTTTACTCAAAGGTATTTAACCTTTCATATAACTGGCATAATTGTCACCTTTCTATCAAATGCACAACTAGGCCATTAATCTTTTATTTTGGAATAGTTTCTACTCTAATACTTATTTATAATATCAATTAACTCTTTTTAATTTATTATAAACCTTATACATTTGCACTCTTAGTGCTCACATGGTAATTTATCAACTTCTTATTCCTGTTCATTTATTAAGATGCGCATGTAATGCCTATACGGTAGTTCATCAACTCATGATGAATTATGTGGGTTGCACACATCGTGCCTATACGGTTATTCATCAACTAATGATGAATTTCGTGGATTTGCACACATAGTGCTTGTACGGTTATTCATCAACTCATGATGAATTCCGTGGATTTACACACATAGTGCATGTACGGTTATTCATCAACTCGTGATGAATTTCGTGGGTTTGCACAGATAGTGCTGAAATGATTGTCCATCAATATATGATGAATTTTGTGAATTGCACACTTAGTGCCGAAACGGTTGTTCATCAACATATGATGAATTCCGTGGATTGCACACTTAGTGCCGCAACGGTTATTCATCAACATATGATGAATTCCGTGATTTGCACAAATAGTTCCGAAACGGTTGTTCATCAACATATGATGAATTCCGTGGATTGCACACTTAGTGCCGAAACGGTTATTCATCAACATATGATGAATTCCATGATTTACACACAGTGCTGAAATGGTTATTCATCAATATATGATGAATTTCGTGATTTGCACACTTAGTACTGAAACTGTTGTTCATCAACATATGATGAATTTCGTGGATTGCACACTTAGTGCCTAAACGGTTGTTCATCAACATATGATGAATTCCATGATTTGCACACATAGTATCGAAACGGTTATTCATCAACATATGATGAATTTCATGGATTGCACACTTAGTGCCTATTTGGTAATCACCACACACATACATTAAGCAATCATACATCTATAACTATTATAACATATAGTTACACAATTAAGTGCACTCACCTGGTATGCCTCAGTTGTATGCTTTAAGGATGTCTAGCTACTTGGAAACTTTATCTTTGCCCTTGTTCTTGCTGGACTCGGG